TGACATGTTCGTACGAACCCTTTGTACGAACAAAAGTAAGAGAAATTTAGGAGAAGAATACGAACATGTTCTTGCATGAGGCCCAATGTCAATTATAAATTAGATTATAAATTAAGTTTTCAAAACATATACAAATTATTATTACAATGTTGATTTATTGCAACAAGACTAATTGATAAATTGCAGACAATAATATATTTAACATTCAAATGAAGTCCACTAAATCTAGACACATTATGATGGTAGCCAAAATGCTAAAGCACATAAAGTGTTGTAATAAAAGGTAAAAAGAGGCACAATAGAAATGCGGGTTTATAGCAACAGATAACATCATTGTAGTTCAAAACAACAACATCAGCTGAACCTCTTCATTTCTTCTATACCTCTTCGTTTACAGTAAACACCATTATGTACTACTGATTTTGCACCGGGAAATGCTATAATAATAATAATAATAATAATGATAATAATCAACATACCTGTCTCAGATGCCTCAGGGACCTAAACTTTGGACAAGGTAACTCATCTAATTTTGAAGCGTCACAAAGGAAGTCGAGGCCCATTTTGTTCTCTGATTGGTGCAGCTGTGACTTAAATCCCTCTGCTCCTTCCCAGCAGCTCATTTCCTCTTCTTCCTCTTTGAGAAACAGAATAACAAATATGGTCCTTTTTACAGTTTAACATGCTTGGTATCAGTATTTTACACTGCATTTTGGTCTAATATTCATGGTTCATTAAACTACAATTAGTCTAAACGGTGTTCATATCTACTCATGTTTCATTGGTTATAATAGCATTGTAATGTAAAATACTAATAAAACTAATTTGTTTGTATAAAAAATACTAACCAAAAAAAAAAAAAAAAAATCAGGTGTAAAAGACCAAAAAGACTAGAGCTGAATGTCAGCTTTAAAAAGCAGAACATAGCTACCCAAGATAGATACCCCAGTTCTAAAGTTATTGCACCAGCTTCCTGTATCTCAGAGAATAGACTTTAAAATATTTCTATTAGTTTATAAATCACTGAAGGCTTAGCACCAAAATACATTGAAGATCTGTTGTTGTATCAACAACAACAGATCACTCAGGTCTTCTGGTTCAGGTCTACTACAACGTAGCCTGGTTAGAACCAGCCCCTTGTCCTTCACTTTGCTTCGTACAGAGGGTCTGGACTCTTGGCTACAGAGAAGTGATTCTTGCTGGAGGCGTGGCCTCTGCTGAAGTTTAAAATGATTGGATCAGTTGGCCATGACATTTGTGTATGCCAGCTCCACTGTGCAGGAGGCTAAGCTAAGAAGCTAACTGGAAATTACGTGCGCTGTAAACAACCCTACTGAGAGGAGAGAAGAGGAGAGAAGCACCAAGCCAAATGAGGCGGCTGTAAATGAGAGCTGCAGGCTTTGTCATACAAATTTAATTTAATTTGATAAGTCAGGACTGGCTTCATTCACTTCCTCCACTGCCATATCTAAACTATAAGCAGACACTGCGCAGAAAGTCGACGTTGTCGTTCAAAACCCTGCCTTCTGATTGGCCCAAACAAAATTCTCCTGAAGAAATCCCTGTCTATGGGAGAAATCCCAGATTCCCAGTGAAGGGAAACTAGAATTTAGCGGAACTGCAGAGGAAGGCAAGGGCCAGGCTAACTCCAACCAAAGAATCAAACCAAATATGGAGAGGCAGCATTCAGTATTTATGCTCTAATAATCTGGAAGAAACTCACAGAAAACTGTAAGAATGACTTTGAATTATTTTAAATCAAGGTTAAAAACACGTTTGTTTAGTGCTGCATTCGACTGTTCTGATTAAAATATGAACCAAAACATTCAGTCTGTGGTCCAACTTTTCTTTCCTTTCCTTTACTATGCCTCCGTATTAAACTTCTTTTTAATGTTTTATCATGTAAAGCACTTAGTTCAATTCAGTTTTCAAGTACTTTATACACCTCTGGTAACAAAGTACAAGTAAAAATACTTTAACAGAAAATGAATTTCACTGATAACTGCTCACAATAATCAGAAAAGTACTTTTATACACACTTGGAAATAAAGTGTTGACTTTAGTTAACCAAGTTATGTCAACTGGTTCCACTAAACCGAGTTGAGTAAACTGCTTTACATTAACTCAACTCTGTTCTGTGGAACCAGTTGATATAACTTGGTTCAGTAAATTCAACACTTCCTCTTTTAGAGTGCATAAAAACTCCTTTCATGATGAGTTCAGTCATATTTAAATTTGTAGCATGTAACGAGGTGTTAAATTAAAAGTTACGAAATAAAAGCATCATTTTTATGTTTGAATGTAACAAAAGTAAAAGTTACATCACCTATTACTTATTACCCAAATATTCATCAGCTGCTGCTTATAAAAAATAAATCATATGTCGAAGTGACTTTCTTAACATCATCAACAAATGAATCAGCTGAGCTCAAGACATGTTTCCAGTCTGTAATGAGCAACAAACCTTGCTTTCATCACTTTGTTCTGTTTATAACATCCACCTCCAGTGAAGTCAGAATTTAATCTGTTCACATATTTTTTTTTAACTTTAACTACAAAAATTGTTCTGTCTTTGGTCATTGAGCCAATCTCAGGATGTCACTGTAATTCTGAGTGAATATTGAAACAATAAGAGACCACTGTGCTTTACAGAAGACTGAACAAAAATGTTGTCATTCAATTCAATTTCGTTTATGTTAAGTTTTGAAGCAACATCACACTAGTAACAATAATTAATATTTACCTAAAAATCAGCATTTCCTGCTTTTGCACGAACATCAGTTGAATAAATGATTTTAGCATTAAAAAGTTCATCCTGGATCCCATCAAGGGAGTTTATAACTCAAGAACAGACAGGTAATAAAAATATTTGTGAGCTTTGCCTCATTATATTTCTCCATTTTGCAAGTAAAAACTTTATTTTTATTAATTATATTTCAACACATCTCAAACATGAGGAAAGTAAAGAATATTTTTGACAGGACCAGCTGTGCTGTTGTTGGAATTCCAGTAATTTAACAAGGGATAAAAACATCTGGCTGAAGTTTTATGCCATAAAACGTGACATAACCTTCTTAACTGTAATGAAACATAATCTTCCCACTCAAGGGAATTTTGGTGATTATCAGGAAACTTCAATAAATCATCCTCAGAATGAGTTCTTCAGAATTTGAAGTCAAATAAACATAATGGCTTCTTTTTTCCCCCCCAAAACTGACAGTTTCAGGGTTGTGTTTTGAAATCTTGAACCACCTGAACCAACTCGAGCACTTTGTTTAAAAACCTGAACAATTTTATTTTTAAACACAACTGTTTTTCAAATGTCAAATAGGTGTTACCGAATCTAGTCAAAATTAAATGGATTGTTTTTTTTTTATTTGGGTGTTTGCCGTGGCAAAAAATGTTCCTCAAAACTACTTATTGTGGAGGTAATTGCCACAAAGAGTTTTATATTCAGATTATGTCAATTAAACAGTATTTATGCACTGCAGGATGCGGTCATGAAATGTTACCAGTGTGCAGATTAGGTAAACGAAACAAATATAGTAAGATGCTGTTTGGTACACAAATGTTTTGAAATACTTAAGAAATAATTACTCATAGGTCTGACGGTCAGTATTTTATTAGACATCACAGTTGATCATTTTATGCAACTCGTGCTTGTACGACTGGGTTTCCTTAATCCTAATTGTATTGTTTTGTAGTTTGTTAACATTTGTTTAAAATTGTATATGTTTATTTAAATCATTTACAAGTAAAATTGTGTTAAAATTCCACAGCTAAAAGGCCTTAGCTGTACCAAGAAATTTCTCTCCAAAGCTTTTAATCACTCTCAAAATAGACTAAACTGTGTAAACACTGTCTGGGAATGGCAGTGTTTTTGAGGGTAATGGTTAAGTGATTTGTAATGTTTTCCTGCTCCGACTAACCCGATGATTCAGACTTTCAGTCACAGGAGAATTTTCCAACTAATCACAGTGAAACCATGGCACATTGACCAAACATACCAGCTGATACCATCCATCAGAAAAACACTAAAAGCTTAGATGGATAAAACAAACATTTGTACTCCTGAACGGCTAATAAAATCATGTTTAATAGCTGGGTTTCAGTCACGTGGTTTCGAAGGCGGAGCGATCTCCGCTGGAGGGCAGGGGGTAAAATGTCTATGGAGGAAACGACTGTGGAGAGTTTATATTGTATGGATTTAGGTCCTATTTCAAGATATATAACAACAATTTGTTCACAAATATGTCAGACATGACTCGTATGATGAAGATGAATGAGTTTTCGACAGAACCTAAAGATTTTCTGAGGCTGTCAGTACCACACACGTCTTACATCACCAAGTGCCAAATAATAACCAGCAAAAGTTTATCTGATGAATAATTCCACACGATTCTGCCCAACCCTATGACAACATATGATAACACTGATTATCATACACAAAGATGAAAAATGTAGAAAGCTCACAGAACGACAACGTAAAAAGAGGATTTTAAACCATCTGCAGTCAGGAGGAGCAGAATGCCGCGGTGTCTGCAGGCAGAGGCCACTACATCAGAGGAATGTTAGCTGTTAACTTGTTTTAGAGGTTATGTTTATAATGATCATTTATTTAGTAGTGAATATTAAGTTACTGGTAGTTTAATGTGGACCTCATCTGGACTTTAGGCTGCCCTAGTTCTGTGTAGTTAGCTGCTGGAAGTTTGTTGATGTTAGCGACTACTGTTAGCATTATCTTAACATATAAAACAATATCAAAACAAACACTCACCCTGGCAAAAAACAAACGATAATCATCGTGGAGCTGTTTGGTACTGAGTTTGTGGATCCACCCGCTGAATAAAAAGTTCTACACCTCCTGTTGTTTACGTGCTTTCATCAGCTGTTCGGTGTAGTTAGCATCCCATTAGCGCTGCACCGTCTGACCCAGCAGACCGGTAACGGGAACACAGAGTCCGCTCGGTGCTCGATCTTCTTCTCTTCCCTCTTATAATCGAAATAGTGAATCAACTACTTCCTCATCAAAGTCCTCACTCTGTCTCCGACTGTTTTTCCTCCATCTCTGCCTTTGAGCTCCTCTCTCAAGCTGCGGCTCGGTCCGATTCGGTCCACCTGTCCGCAGCTGGACTGGAGCTCCACCTTCATCGCCTTTTTTTTTTGCATCAAAAACCCTAAAATAACTGACTAAACTTCACCGTAACTATGAAATATAGTTATACAAATATAATAAATGTAATAAATTTCGGAAATCTCATTGCTGACTTCCAATCGCGCTGTCTCTCCATCGCAGCTGAACTTTATTCAACTTCCGCCTCTTTTTATTTTTATCCTCCTGTAGATTTTTTGCCGCTTGTCTAATATTTTCAGGCTTCAGTCAGAAAGGAGTTTGGGGGGTTTAGGTTTGTTCGGTGGGGTGGGGGTGACACCAGAGGGTGGAATGAGGTGTTTTTCCCCCATGAATCAACCCTATTTTGTATCCTCCTGCTGCAACGTGCTTCAAATATGACAAACATTAATAAAAAGAGCCATAATATTATTTAATTTAATCAGTGTATAATTATTTATTATTAATTCAGTTAGAATGAGTGGAGCACTCGTAAACTACACAAGATATGGGCATTTTGTCAGATAGCAGATCCTCCACTTTTTCACTTCCTGCCCTCCATCCGAACTTCTCGCTCTAGTGGCACTGCATCGTGACGTGATGTGAAACCCTCCTATTAAGGACTACGTGTCTTACCTGTCTGTCTCTCGATAAGCACCAGAGTGTCTTCAGTGGGTGCCCCTTCAAGGAGCTTCTCCGTCAGACGACTGCCACAAGCCTTCAGCAACCTGGAAATGAAGAAGAGGCTCAAATCAGCAACATATCTATTCTATAACAAACAAATGAATGCAATAATGAGAGTCTCTTAACTCACCAGCTGAAGGAGCAGTGCAGACTAGCCCACAGATTGGGATGCTGGGTGAGAGACGTTAATGAACGGGCCGCGTTGCCGCTCCTCTGATGTGGAAACACGGCAGGTGAAAACACGCTGTTCATCCTCAGAGCTCGCTGCGGACAGACTCCCTGTTCGCTGTCAAACACCTGATAAAGAAAGTGTGCAAAATGATCAAACTGACTAATAATAATAATAAAAGGTGGGCACAGTCCATGCTGATCTAATGCCCTACTTTCAGTGCCGTGCTCTGCAGACTTTGTATGGTGAGCTTGAGGTGTCGTAACAGGAAAGGCCAGGAGTTAATGAGGTAGATCCTGTCCATGGCTACCACAACGATACTGTACCAACGCTGGAACCCCCTGGCCAGGCTGTCTTTGATAAAAAAGGTGTGTGAGAACACAAACCCATGTTGTTCATCACCGAAGAAAATAGGTCCTTCGCGCCCAGGACACACCTGAAGCCACAGCAGAAGTAAGGTTTGAGGATACAGTTCTACAAGACAAGAGGATTATTTGGTGGTGTGTCACTGTGTACCTCGCAGCTGAGACTTCGCACACAAGCCTGACGGACCACACTGAAGAGCTGCGACTGTCTGGGATGCTGATGGCTCAAAAAGCGAATGCCTGTTTCGTCATCGATGCTCACAAAACCCGGGTGAGACGCAGGTAGAGATCGGCATCCCTGTGTGGAGCAGAAAGGAGGACAATGAGAACGTTTGAGATACGTGACTCAGATACACTCAGAGCAAGGGGACTTTATGTCTGTGACATGTCCACTCACCTCACACATCTCTCCTCTTTGTGTCGCTGAACTGTTGGCCTTCATGGTCAGACCTTCTCCTTCTCTGTCACCGTCTCTGTCCCCAGGTACCGGGGTACCCACTTGAGATGAAGGGTCTGGGGACGGAGGATGGAGTGCCTCGGTGCAAAACAGTGTCCGAGGTCCATGGAGCTCACAGAAGTGACACAGAGCTACCAGAGCGTTCATCTGAGAAACAACAATAGCTGTCAGACATAAACTCATCAAGCTCAACTAATTTGATTACTAGATTCAAACATTAAGACCAAATGAGCCACTTCAGTTTCTTTCAGTCAGTAACCTTACAGGCTGACACCTGCCATCATAAGACATGGTCACAACTAGCAACAACTAGTGGGTCTTACCTTCAGAAGTTCAACTGACTGGAGGAGCTCAGAGCTTCACTCAGCATTTCATGATGAGGGAAAAAAACGTGAAAAATAACGTCGATGCGAAAAAAGTCCCAACAGTTCTCTACCTGATCGTCCTAAACCATAAGTTCAAGATAAAAAATTAATGTTTTCAGCTGCTTTTCGTCTCTCTCTGTTGTTAGCAAACAGAACTATCACATGATGACGCCGAGTCACGCGCTCGAGCTCAAGTGACGCTCGGCTAGCAGCTGCGCTGTTAGCCTTAAATTTTAACCATTAAAACAAAAACATGTTTGTGTTTTACAATCAAGACGTCGTCTCTGAGCATATTCGTTTTCTTACTGTTGCGTTTTTGAGTTAATAATGGGCTTTACGCAGCTTATTGAAGAATGTTTCGTCATAATGCAACTCAAAACTTCATTACCCACAATTCCGTGCGGGGTTAAAGGGCACTAGAGCGACTCAGTGCGTTGGCTAAAGCGCTACAAACTGGTAAGTGGGACTGTAAACATATATATTTAAAAATAAATGTACTTGGTTTCATTGGTTTAACATTAGCGTTTGTATTTCTTAAAGCTACTAAACTTATAGTGTTTTTAAATTCGTTAATTTGAGACTGGTTTGTAACATTACACGAACTTACATTTCAGGTAAAAACACCCAGTATAGTGACACAGTGACTTTTCAGGTCTGGGAATGGCAGACGGACCAGGAATTTCCTCAGACCCAGTAGTGGATCAGAAAAACAGAGATGATGGGACCCTTCTTGCTCCCACTAACCTGACTGACTTACCGGATCCACAAGTTCCCTCTAAAAATAACAAAGATGAAGACACCCTGAAAGGAGGTAAACTCATTTTATTTGCTGTTCTTTTGTTGTCTGAAGGCATCAAAATTTGTTGAGTAAGCACAACTTACCAACAAAGAGGCACACAAATGAGTAAAATAAACTGATTTATGGGACTTCTCTTCAAAATGTAGACCGGTGGTGCCCAGTCCTGGTTCTTAAAAGCCTACTATCCTGCATGATTTAGATGTTCCTCTGCATTGACATACCTGAAGTAAGTCAGTGATCAACAGGCTTCTGCAAAACTTGAAGAGCAGAGAATCCTCTAAAACAGGGGTGTCAAACTTATTTTCACTGAGGGCCACATGAGCATTATGGTGGCCCTCGAAGGACCACTTGTAATGAGCTTTGACTTTTCATGTTTAACTTTGACTAAACAGTAAAAAGGAAAAAAACTGTATAGGTCCTCTGGACGGGTTCTTCTTTAATGAAACGTTTCGTCTCTCCTCCAAGAGACTTCTTCAGTCTGAGAGTTTCAGGCAAAATTCAGGCTTTTGAGTCCTGCCTCCAKGTGACTGATACTCACATCACATGGCTATCGTTCACACCTAATTAACACCTATTGTTAACAGGGGGTGGAGTGATACTGCCAATGGTAGCGCTGTAGGAGGGGGACAACTGAAAACGGAGGCCTCCACCTCTGTTTAATGGCTTCTTTTACTCCTCTCTCAAACCAACGTTCCTCACTATCAAGAATGAGAACATCCTCATCTCTGAAAGAGTGACCGCTGGCCTGTAAATGAGTGAAAACTGCAGAGTTCTGGCCATTAGATGTAGCTCGTCTGTGTTGGGACATTCTTTTGAACAGTGGCTGCTTTGTTTCCCCGATGTATAACTGGTCGCAGTCCTCCTGGCACTTAACAGCATATACAACATTGCTCTGTTTGTGCCGGGGCACCGGATTTTTGGGGTGAACCAGCCTTTGCCGTAATGTCCCACATTACGGCAAACACCTACCGGGACAAACACATTTACAGGCCAGCGGTCACTCTTTCAGAGATGAGGATGTTCTCATTCTTGATAGAGAGGAACGTTGGTTTGAGAGAGGAGTAAAAGAAGCCATTTTTGTGAAGAAAGACCGTCCATCATTAAACAGAGGTGGAGGCCTCCGTTTTCAGTTGTCCCCCTCCTACAGCGCTGCCATTGGCAGTATCACTCCACCCCCTGTTAACAATAGGCGTTAATTAGGTGTGAACGATAGCCATGTGATGTGAGTATCAGTCACATGGAGGCAGGGCTTAAAAGCCTGAATTTTGCCTGAAACTCTCAGACTGAAGAAGTCTCTTGGAGGAGAGACGAAACGTTTCATTAAAGAAGAACCCGTCCAGAAGACCTATACAATTTTTTTTCTTTTTGATTTTTTACCTGGATTACTGAGATGCATCAGGACATTTTGACTAAACAGTGTTTGACACATGTGCTCTAAAACATCCAGGTTAGGGGCCCTCAGCACCAGGATTGGACACCACTGTTCTAGACCAGGGGTCTAGAATCTGCGGCCCCTGGGCCACATATAGCTCTTTGGTCCCTCTGAAGTGGCTCTTTGAAGCTTTAACCATATCAAACATAAAATTCCATTTTTGAGGGTTTTAAACTCACAACAGAAAATATTAACTTTACCAGGGTTACCTTTAGAGACCTTTAAGACTAGATACTAATAAGAATTAGGAAAAATAAATAGACCTGCAAAGCTCAGTTGTTGTATTATTACACCCCTATCAAGAAGCTCTTCTATGAGAGTGAAACTCCAGCCATTTTCATCACACATTACAGGCCCTTCATATCCGTTACAGCAATGGTTCCTGTTATGGCAATATTTATTTAACAAAGACAGAAATACGTGGTCCAAGAATGAAGGTACTCCGTGAGACGATCAGCTGAGTTTTATTGCAACAACAGGAAACACAGAGAACAACCTGGCCTGTCTCTGTGCCTCTGCTTCTCTCTGTCACTGTCTCTCCACACTACTCACTGTCTCGAGAGGCCTCATATACTATATATATATATATTAACAAACACCATTATGTCATCTTAACATGATTTGATACAAGGTCAATGGAAAACACAAAGATAAACACAAGTGATATCTAAGAATGACTGTTGTTAGCAAATATTGTTCTGACTTTAATCATTCTGTCTGCAGATGAACAGMATGTSAKKAAAACCWAGGTCATTAAAGGATGTCATGAATTACTTGCTTAAACATAAAAGTATTAGTTCCATTACAGTTCCCAAAGTTGGGATTGAGACCCTTCTGCGGGTCATAAAACATCAAGGGAGGGTCCCCAGATTATTTCCAGACATCAATTTATAGTCAAATAAATAGCAAATGGAATATTTTTTTATCATAATCACTTCAAGAAAAGTACAATAATAATGAATAAACATAGTATCATAATTATTAGGCTTGTTTATGTTGTTATTGTGCTCATGTTTAACAGTTATTAAAGTTAGCAAAGATAAACCAGTCATATCTGGGGTCACAAGTTACTGCAACTGAAGTTTGAAAACCACTGCGTTACGCCATCATTACCGTACAAAAATGTGGTGCAACTTCTTAAGATCATCTCAGTGGTGTCCTAATAAAAGTGGTGACAATGAAGAAGGGAATTCTTATTCAGCCTCCTGAGGAAGCATGTCTTCTGCTTAAATTTTTATTCAGGGATTTGATGTTAAGAGTCTTGGTGAAATCCTCTGTGATGTTAGCTCTTTACAATGCACTGCAGATGACCTTCACCACAGTCAAGCTGCAGATAGAGTTTGTAGGTAATCTTTCTGTTTTAACTTGTTGGCATTAAAGAAAAGTTTATTTGTCCCTACATCCGCTCCTTTATATGTTTTTCCACTAAAATCAACTAAAAATGTGTCTCAGCAAGTTTTAGAAAAATCCTTTAAAATTTGTGTTGTTGTGTCTACGTCTAAAGAGCCACATCTTTATGTCACAATAAATATAAGTTTGATCTTCTCTCAGGTGTATTGTTTGTTTCTCCAGAGAGTCACAGTGCTTTTAGTTACTTTAATACAAAGACACAGGTAGATAAGGAGAAAATATTTCACGTCTTTAAGCTATTTTTTTATTTGAATGAAAAAAAGCTATTTTTGAATTTTCTTAATGAGGCACTCTCAGCTTTTTAACTGACCGTTTGCCTTTATAATCTTTGTTTTTAGCCCTCAACAGGACAAATTCTGTCTTCTGGCCCAGTAAAGATGAACTGGTTTTTCTGTTTGAATCTGGTGTTTTTGTGGTCGAAACTGGAAAAACAGGTGCTGAGTAAATACTGACTTCACTTAAACCACACTGATGGAAACCCCCCTAACTGTTCCACCTCTGCACTCTGAGAAGTTTTGTTGTTTCTTTCCTTCACAATTAAACAGAGGACACATTAAGAGTGTTTGTGTTCAGCTTTATTTTTATTTTACAGTTGATTTACGTTTCAGCCAGCAAAAGGAGGAGTGACAACTTTCAGCAACACTTTAAAAAAAAAGTATCTAAAGTGTATAGAAACCACTGATTTGGATAAGATATAGGCCTGATTTGGAGTAATTTCACTTTAGGATTTAATTTAGTCTGTTTCTAATTTTACAGAATGTTGAGCAGTTGCTTTTACAACCATAAGCTTTATCTAAATAACCATAAATAAAGTTATGTTTTGGTAAGGCTGCCTCACATTTGTTTCTACAAATTTAAAAAAACGTTTTCCTACCATTTGTTTGGTTGTTTGTTTGTGATCGCATCAGAGGTCGGATTTATAAAACTGGCGTACGCACAATTTGAGCCCAGAAACTTGCGTACGCCACTTTTTACGCTAAGGTTGTGATTTATAAAATCCAAACTTGACGTGAAAATGTGCGGTGCCTCACGCCAGCT